GCTTAAGGTCACAATGAAAGGGGAGAAAACTTAACCTATCGCATTCTGGTTGGCTAGTGGTGATGAGAACTGACCAGTTATAGACCAAAATAGAGCTCAGTAACAGCTTGAGTTTAAATGTATATATGTTTAGAAATAAAAAGAATACTGCAAGTTGTTTATTCAAAAACCATGGGTTTGAAGCTAAGCAGGGTCGGGCCTGGTTAGTACTTGGATGGGAGACCGCCTGGGAATACTGGGTGCTGTAGGCTAAAAAAAAAAAAAAAAAAAAACCATGGGTTTCTCTAGGTTCTAAACAAATGAGCCACATAAGAAAGAACCCACCACACGAGAAATTAAATCTAAGGTATATCCAGGAGTGGTGGTGCACACCTATAATGCCACCACATGGGAGGCTGAAGCAGGAGGATCATTACTATAAATCTGAAGCCAGCCTGGGCCACATAGTGAGTTTAAGGCGAGTTTGAACTATATAGCAGGACCTTGTCTCAGAAAACCAAAAATGCAAGCAAACAAAAAACTGTGGCAAATGTGGCCACTTCATTTATTGAAGTACAGAAATAATATTTTAAAATATCCAAAAACATAATCTATTATATTCATTTCAGCTCTCTACATTACCCCCAATCATTTTTACTGAATATTTTTCAGATTCACTAAGCATTCCGCTGCAACAAATATATACTGAGTCAATAAACTGCCACAAATTACCTTCTGGTGAGACCTTTTCATGAATAATCAAAATGTTTCCTTTATTTTAATTTTATAACAACAAAAAATTGGAAAAATATTTACATACCAAATAATTCTATACTATGTGTTCATTTTGTAATTCTGTGTGAAATATATACCATGAACAATGTCACATTCATGAAAAGTAGTATTCAAATCAAACTACACTTTACATGTAGTCAATTATTATTTTAATGTCTTTGTAGCACATAACTGCTGCAAATAAAGCACTGAAATGGTGAATACTGAATCACTGCTATTAAAACACAGGGTGAGGGTCCTGTAAGCCTCTGGTCCTAATATTTTCATCAACCAATCAGTAGACACCCTTGTTTTCTGTGTTTCGGTTTAAAGACACTTTATTTACTACACATTACTAGTTCACTAACACTGACCTCCCAGCCACCAGCATATTAACACATCGCACATCCTCCTGCACTTAGCACCCTCCACAACATTTAGCACAATGTTTGAGGACCCCATAAAATAGCACAAGTGTCAAAACCAGAAAAAGCACAAAAAACAAAACAAAACCGCACTAGACACCTCAATAAGAGGGCACACTTTTATGGGATGCAAGCTCAAAACAAGGCAAGCTGCCACCTAACTGGAGCACAGCGTGGAACGTACTCGCAAGGCGACTCTAAGTTCTCTCCACTCACACGTGCTGTGGGAGCACTGACTGAGGACTCTCAGATTTCAGCAGGCAAAATCACAAATGGTAAACCTACAAATAATGAGAACTAACACTATAGGGAAAGCCCAACTTAGTAAGTTTTATAAACTAGGTCTGGTCATGCTTCACTATAATCCCAGCCTCCACTGTAAGTTCAAGGTCACCCTGGACCTTGCAGGGTTACAAGATCCTATCTCAAACAACTAAGTGAAACATTTTAGTAATTCAGTAAATTTTATAAGTATGAGGGTTTACATATTGATAATTAACAAGAATGCAAAATTTTATGACACTGTCTTCAAATTGTCACACACAAACACAAAAAAAATCACTACCGTGTTCTGGTAAAGTTTACAGATGAAGAATAAAAATGAAAAATTTAAAATTCATTGCTACCCTTTAAAAACAGTCAACAGGGTGGGAGGATACTATAGAAAGATATCAGAAACAGCAACTTCTATTTTATTTTATTTTAGTTTGGTACCAAGGAATCAAATTCAGGACGTCATGTTTGGCAGGCAGAGGCTATGCCACTGAGCTATATCCCCAGCCCTATTTTACTCTTTTACTATTTTGATGCTGAGCATTGAACCCAGGGTCTTGTGCATGCTCAGGTTAGGCACCCCTCTAAGTTACATCCTCAGCCCTAAAAATATAAGTGTTTATAAGCTCTCTGCCTCTAGTATCTCTTTAGGGAGAAAAAAAATCAAGACATGCTTACCATCACTATTACACATTTTAAAAGTTCATAAGAATAAATGTACTTTAAATATTAAAACAAAAAGTATTTTGTTATTTTGTTTTTTTGCGACAGAGTCTTGCTATTTGGAATGCGCTGGACTTGAACTCACCAGGTAGTCCAGGCAATCCTCCTGCTTCAGCCTTTCAAGTGCTAGAACTAGCACTTGAAAAATAGAATTTCAGTAATTTTGAAGCCTCATACTTGGCTTCAAAAAGATTTAAGATACAAGCCCAGAACTCTGGAAGATGAAGGCAAGAGGATGAAAGGTTTGAGCCTAGCCAGGCAACTTGGCAAGGCTCTGATTCAAATTAACAATTTAAAAATGGGCTAGGAGCCAGGCATGGCAGAGTTCAAGGCCAGCCTGGCAACCCAGTGAATTCAAGGCCAGCCTATCCTATACTGCAAGACCTTGTCTCAAAAAAGCAAAAAACAAACAATTTAAAAAATAAATAAATAAGGCGAGGGTGGGGGGCACCAAGGAAAACAACTCATGTGAAGAACTTTGATTCAATCCCTTCTACTGGGGCTGGAGGCACACAACAATGCCCACACAGACATGAACAGTGAAAAGACAATTGGTATGGACAACTAGAAATGAAAATCTTGAGTTATATGTTCAAACAAACTATCTTAATAAAATAAGTTTGATTTTTTCTAAACATTATCTGTACAGCCATAATGTGTGCCCAGTTTGCATCTCCGATCTCCATAATACAACTGATATACATACTAATTACCATCTAATCATACTAACTCTTGAAATTTATGTTAGTGAAAATTAAAACAAAAACACAACAGGTTAATTAAGACCACAAGAAACTTTGAAGGCTATGATCAAAAATGTAAAAACCACCATTTTTTCCTGTCAAATTTTAAATGATACTCATTGCAACATGTTTTTGATAGTAAAAAAAAAAACAAGAAAAATTCACCTTTTAATAAAAGGGTCATTTAAAATCAAGGAACAGTACATAATCCTTAATAAGAAACGAGCTAGACTATATCATATGCACACATAAAGATCTTACATAGGTACATTTAAAGTTGTAAAATGAGAGATACACAAACAAAGGATACTTATATGATGGAGTAAAAAAAGCCCCACAGACTATTAAGTACATGATTCATTCTATGAAAAATAAGCACAATTTCTCACACACACACACACACACACACACACACACACACACACTGCTAACAAAGCAGTAGCTTCGGCAATTTAACATTTCAAAATGAGCTTTATAAGCAGGTAGGTATCTTGTTATGGCCATTTTCAATTTGAAATAATATAAAATTCATGTTATCTGACAACTTCTGTATCTTCATTTATTCGGGAAAGTTCTGCTAAACATAATTAAAAACAAACGCTCCCCAGCTCCAAGATAGAATTTCAATAATTTTTCTCCAAAAATTCTTCAAAAGAAAAAAAAAGTTATCAGCATTCACCAATCCGAAACCTGAAATGTTTAGTGATACAAATTTACTTTTATAAGGACCCAAAGTAAATATTTTAGGCTCTATAGACACACATGGTCTCTATTACAGTCTTTGCTTGTCTCTTTTCTTCCTTGTAACTCTTCTAAGATTATTTTTGAGGGCCGAGGATTTAGCTCAGTGGCATAAGCACCTGCCTAGCAAGTGCAAGCCTGAGAGTTTCATCCCCAGTACCAAAAAAAAAAAAAAAAACCAGAATGTTTGTGAAAATTTTTATTACTCAGGCCCACACAAAAACAGGCCATAAGCCAGATTTAGCTTGCTGCCCATGGTTTTGAGACCATTGATTTATAACAAGAAATCAGTATTTAGAAGCTTGATATTTTAAATGTATTACAACAAAGGCATCAAAGGTCACACAGGTTTAGTTTTATCCCCACATTATGTAAAGTGGTATTATAGAAAGTAAATATAAGTTGATACTCTGAACTCTGTGTGTGTGTGTGTGTGTTTGTGGTATATGTGTCTGTGTGTATTGAGATTAAACCTGGGGCCTTCATACTGAGCTACATCCCCATAATATTTTATATTCTGAGACATAGTTTGAGTAAGTTCCTCAGGCTGGGCTAGAACTTGCAATCCTCCCACCTCAGCTCTCAAATTGCCTAGCTTACAGGTGTGCACCACTAAACCGAGCTAATACACTGAATTCTATATGCTAGATAAACTGATCAAAGGACTAGAAACACAGTAAATGCAACCTCAGGCATTCATATTATTTAACCATGATCTTGTATGTGCCTGTAAAGCATACATATCCACTGAAAAAAATCAACTAAAATTTAATTACAGATCAAAGTTCAAATCTTTTTATGATTATTAAAACCATTCACACATTCAAATAATCAAAATGAGTTCTTTGTTTCAGATATCATCAACCCCTAAAAATTAAGTACTAAATTCAGAACCTGGTAGTGATTTATTTAGCTTTAGTTTTATCATGATTATTACAAAATATTAACAATCTAAACTATTCTTTGAAAGTGTATATTCTTGAAACCTCTTAATATTTACCATGTCAATAACCAATTACTTTTTTTGTTTTCTGAGACAAGTTCTCACTATGCAGTTTAGCCTGCCCTCAAACTCACAGCGATACTCCTACCTCAGCCTCCTGAATGCTAGGCTTACAGGCATGCGCCATCACGCCTGGCCACCAAGTAACCAATTACTGTACCACTTTTTTCTTTCTCATTAAAAGACAGCTTTTATTTATTTGCTTTTATTTAAAATTGAAAGATCTTCATTATCATCATCAAATGTAAACATCATTATGAATAATAAACCTGGTCAAATTAAAACCTAAAATGAGAAATTCATCCTGCAGAAGTAACCAAATATTCATAAAAATCTTACCTAGACTGGTGGGTTTTATCAGTTCATCCAGTAAGTCATAAAATGGTAGTTTTTGAAGTTTTATATCCGGATGCACTGGGTGAAGAGCTGATGTAAGATGTGGGAGTTCCAGTTCATGTTTAGGTCCCAGAAGAGAAACAGGGAGTAACGGTGATGATGCAGGGTGACCGTCATAAGTGAGCTGTGGAATGGTAGATGGAGACAAAGTTGCTGGCATAGGACTTGAATGTACATTGGGGATGGACAAGTCCGCAGGTGTCATGATTTTCTGGGGGAACCGCCGCCTATACAGTTCTTTAATTTTCATTTGCACAGCAGGACTACAGCCAGCCTTGAGTAAATGCAGAGCCTTTGTGAGAAGTTCGTGTTTGCGTCCGTGTTTGTTTCTCCCGGCGTAGCCCAACAATACTTGGAGTTCAGAAACTCTAAGGCTCATAACCATTTGCTTGGAGAAAAAATAAAATGTAAAACATTAGTATCCAATACAATACTGAACAATATTAACCAATACTTTATTTTAAACCCTCTACTTACAGACTGCTTAAACAAGGCCAGCTCATTTACAATTCTAGTGACTTCAAACTTAAAATGCAATCACTGAGCTGGGTGTGGGGCATGTGCCTGACACTCCAGCACAGTGGGATGCTAAGACAGCAATACCATCAATCTGAGTTTTGCCTGGGCAACTTAGCACAATTACATTTCATAATGAAACAGAAAAGGGCAGAGCAATACAGCTCAGTTCACAATCTCTGGATTTGTGAAGCGTGGTGGTGCACACTTGTACTCTCAGCCCTTAAAAGGTTGAGGCAGGAAGATCGATGAGCATTCAAGGCCAGCCTGGCTATGTAGTGAGTTCAAGACCAGACTAAACTAGACTGCGAGACCCTATCTCACAAAACCAAAAACCAAAACAAAACAAAACAAAAAACACCTGGATCCAATCCTCAGCACCAAAGAAGGAAAATTTTAATCACTTAAGTAACCAAAGAGATTTAAAATTAATGTTCCTAACTTCCCTGGTTTCCACCTAGTGTACACCAACAGGACTATATCTCACTTCCTCCCAATGTGCAGCTGAGACTGGCAGGTACTCAGGTATCACGTAAGTCTCCAGAAGAACATGCTACGCATGTGGCAAGGCGGATAATATGCCCTCACCAAAGTTTCCTTTTGTTTTCTTTCTTCTTTTTTTTTTTTAAACCATGCCTGGCTAACATTTTTTTTTCCCTTAAAGGAAAAAGAATAAATATATATGAAACAAACAGCCTACCTTGAGATGTATCCTGCCAGATGTAGGCAGGATATTAATACCAAATATTAGATTCTTTACTAACTTCGGAATTTGTAGGATTTCAATTGTACCTTTTTTGACCAATCACATATCATGATATTTTCACATGGGTTGTCACTTAAATTTTGTAACATATAAGATGTTAATCTTTCTGCTTTACATGTAAGTAGACTAGTTCACAACGATTAAAAAACTTATTTAAGGCCACACAGCTAAACAGTAATTGGATTCTAAAAGCTCCTGCTCTTTACACTAGCCCATTAAGAAAAGGACAAAGGTAGATCTATATTAACTCTTATTCCATTCAGAAGAATAGACTAAACGTTCAGGACTTCAAACTACAAACCATACCATGTAAAGCTACAGTAAAGATACCTAACTTTATTTAATCCTATGTTCACAAACTTTAGTCACTTTCTCCCCCAAGCCTCCCACACTAAGAAGCTGACAACAAGAAAGACCTATCTAATCCATTTCTCCTGTTTTAAAGCATCAGAAAACGGCATTCAAAGACAATAAATACCTACCCTAGGGTCACACAGCTATTAAAGAAGAATCCTAAAAGTCTTCACTATCAGTGACAGAAGTGTTAGGATGAAGCCACACACATGAGCCTATCCTTCTTCAAGTGTTTGATTCCTCTCCTCTCACCAAGCACCCAAACACAAAAGTTGTGCTACCTTCCCTAACTCCTCACTACTTAGTATACTGACCCTTCTCCTAGTCAGTCCTCCTGGGTCTTTGCAGGTGGCAAAACTAGTACAAAAAAAAAAAAGTACACAGAGTTTTATTAGTAGCACAGTTGATTAATCAAAGATACAAGGGCATTTTTGCTAGTTCTTTGGCCTGGAAAGCACTTGTTTCCTCATGGAAAGGCCTTGTCAACTCTGCTTGACAGGACTACTTCTACTGGTCACTTTCATGTTTTTATTTTAGTATTATTCCACTACTTCTGTTTGTATATGTCATTCAATGACCGCCAGACTGAGGTTCTCTAGGTTCTCTCTGCCTCCTGACAACGGCAGAAACTTACAAATGTCTGCAAAATGAAGAAAGGCACAGCAAACTTGTGTAGGAATGGAGATGGAATGCACTGACAAATTATCCAAATGAATGCCCAAACACAAGCTCTACAGAGGAATGCAAAGATATAACACTGACTACAAATTCTGCCCACCCTAAAAATATTTCTCTTTACAGATGTTATCAGAGATTGTAAATAATTATAAATTATAATGTCAGCAGTTTCCACTTACTGAAATACCATATAGCATACAAGAAGAATTTTAAAGATGTTCTGTCATTCCTTTCAAAAGGAAGAGGAATTTGAAACAGAAACACAGCATTATTAAGTGTTTGCTTTCAAAGAAATAATTCAAGTGGAGCATAGTGCCCATGCCTCTAACCCCAGCTATTTGCGGGGCACGATTCAAGTTTGAGGACAGTCTGGGCAATTTGGCAAGAGCTTGTCTCAGAATCAAAAGGGATGGGGATATAGCTCAGTGCTCTCTGGGTTCAACTACCACTGAAGAAGGGGGGGAGGGGAAAGGAAAAGGATTGTAACTTCAAAGATTAAATATTCAGTTGGCATTGGTCAAATGTACTTTGTTTTACAAGGAAAAAGAATACACAGTATATAAACTTTAGAGAAAAACAGTTAGTAATGTGCCCCCACACAATGGTAAACTTCAAACATTATGATGTGATTTTTAGCACTGTTTCATGACCTGGTGGCACAGACTCTGAGCAAGGACTGCACAGAAGACATGGAAGCTACAGAGGGGCCGGGTGGTGCTAACTCACCTCTGGCACCACCACATGGTCAGTTGGATGGAAACCCACACAGATAATCAGTATTGATTACTGATAGTATTTTAACCTATCTATTTACACGTATATGTACCTATAAAGATAGATGTATATGTTTTTTTGATGGAAGCGTCCCTGGACCTGTATTTTATAAAATAACTTGTTAAAATACTTTGTAGCTACACTGGTGTGTAAAAAGTACAAAAATACCTCAAATAGAATAGTCCTGTAATGCCAGCTCTCAGGCTGAAGCAGATTCCCCATTAATTAGAATCTAGGTTCGATTACACTGCGAGACCCTCTCAAAAAAAAAAAACCAAAAAACAAATGAAAAAGCTTGTTATAATTATGCGTTCAATGTTGCCAATATTAGAAAATAAGTAATTTTGGTAAATTTTTATTCCAATATAGCTCAACCTACCATTTTTGCTAAAAGTAGTAACAAATACAGTATTACCAAAGAAAAGAAATGGTTTCGTTGATGCCATTAAGAGATACAACTAAATCTTCTGCTTTACATGAAGTAGTAGAAATTAATTAAAATGATTAACCTTTGTCAATGTATCTGTTTGGTACAGCTACCGACAGCACCCCAGCCAAGGTTGGTAAAGAAGAGGGACTTACAAAACTAATGGAAGGTGATGCAAATGCCACTGGCAATTCACATCTGAAGAAATAATCACTGCATCACACACCAAGACAATTTATTTGCAAAAGCTTTAAAAATGATCATGTTGTGGGGGCAAGGACTTAGTTCAATGGCATAAGAGCGTACCTGGCAAGTGTGAGGTCATGAGTTTACTCTGGTACCAAAAAAAGAAAAAAAAGGATCATGTTGTGCCTGTGGGTAATCAAAACTGTGAACGTCACAATATTCAAGGGATTGAATCAATGTGAACTGCAGAGTTCCCTGAAAGAATGAATACTGATTTACAGGCACATCATTTAATTTGCTGAAGGTGGCTAAATCAAAATAAAATGTCAAGATTTCATGATTTGCTAAATGAAATCAAGTCATTCATGAAATCAAAAGGCAAATCTGTGCCAAAACTTGGAAGAGGAAATATGGCTCACAGATTTAGCATTTTTGGTATACATAAAAAGTTAAACACAGATTTTCAATATGTAAAAAATTAACATATCCATGTTACGTTTTAAACCACAATGTTCAAAATAAAACATACAAGCTCAAGTTATAGCAAGTAATTGTATGCATTTTAACACACTAATTAATCACAGTTCTGTGAACCGTGAAAAATACAGCATAGCTTTCTTTTTGCTTTTTGTTTTTTAAGACAGGTTCTCACCACATAGATTAAGCTGGCTTGAACTCACTATTGTAGCCCAAGCAATCCCTGAACTTATGGCAATGTTCCTATCTCATCCTCCTGAGTGCTGAAATTACAAACCTGTGCCACTATGCCTGGTCAGCCTTGCTTTCTGTGAGGTTTTCTGTTTGCTGTGTTGGTTGGTTGGCTGGTTGATTCTGAGACAAGGTCTTACTATGTACTGGCCGGCCCTGAACTCACTACGTAGCCCAGGCTGGCCTCAAACTTACTGCAATCCTCTTGTCTCCGCCTGTGAGGGCTGGAATTACAGACATGCAACACCATGTGCAGCTCTGCTTTCAGTTTTGATACAGAAATCTGTAAACAAAGCCAGGTGTGGTGGCTTACACCTGTAATCTCAGCACTGGGGAGGCTGAAGCAGGAAGATTACTGTAAGTTCAAGGTCATCCTGCACTAAATAGTAAGACTCTTTCAAAAAAACAAAAACAAAAAAAAGGAAACTTGAGAACAAGTTTCAAGATTTCAGAAAAACAATTATCAATTTTTTAGTATATCTGTAACTCCATTTCAGACAGCAAACATATTCCCTATAAATTTTCAAATCAAACAGTTACAAACATATAAATCAAAGAAAAATTTAATCAGTCTCTTTATTAGACTTTTGAAGGACCTATCTTTCCTGAGAAAAACACCCTCACTTCCCAATCATACCTTGTTTATATCATTACTTTTTGGCAGTACTTATCCATGTGAACACCTATTTTTTAATCCATTTTACTTCAAGGAGAAAAAAATCTGAAAATTTCAAAACACATCAGTCAAGGGGCAACAACAGTATATACACTGCACATTGTCATTCCCAGATAATTCACACAGAGCACAAGAATCTGCATTCAATTATACAAACAATACCAGCACAAATCTTTCTCTTCAGTGAACTGAGAGAAATCAATAGTATAACTAGTTCTTTAATATACATACATAGATATATATACATACATACAAGTATACATACATTGTTTCAGCTTCTCACACTAGTAAGACAATACAATG